ATTTGGAGAATCTTTTGACTAATAGAGTTAACCAATTATCCATTTCCTATTGTCGAACCGTTTGACTAATAGAGTTAACCAATTATCCTGGTTTCTTGTTGTAAATTTGACTGTTGCAGCATATGTCAATTGACTTGTTGAAGAGTTGACCATTTGACCATGAAACTTAGTAGAATATGATTTATTGACAAAGTAAGATTGTTTAATTAACCCATTCACCCCTGAAATTTTATAATGTACTATTCCAACCTTTGAATCGGAAGAGTTCAAATGTGTCTTCAGGGGTGAATGAGTTAACTATAGCTATAGCTTGCTGTCGAATATGGTTGTTTCACAACTCCCTAGGTATGGATGGTTATTTTACCGTTGACTTTTGTAGAGTACTCGGGGTCATGTGACAGTGAGAGTGGAAGAACCCTGGTCCGCAGTAAGTCTCAGAATGCCCGAACAAGGAGCCTTAGTCGTGAACGACGACGAAACTTCCATAAAAACCCACCGAACCAGGCAAATGGTAAGTTAATTGTCTTTACTCTTTTTAGATATTTGTTAGATGTCTTGGTGTGGTTAGGAAAACTGGACTTTGTCTCCTCCTGTCAGAGTGGTAACTTTGACAGGGACTATATGAGAACTTGGTTGATATATTGTTCATGTTCGACAGATTCAATTTAAAACATTGAAAATAAATCCAAGGTTAGTGTTTCAAAGAGCCGAAGTTTGACATGTTTTTCTTTTATGTGAAATGATTGAGAATTGTTGTATCCTTTGAAGGATGGAGAGGTTGTCAGTCTTTCGCAGAATAACTTCTCCTCATGTCAGTACTCATTTATACAGCTGGGTAGACTGGAACAATCTTGACAAAGTGTTGTGGTTAAGAACAGGCAAGAGTAAATTTCTGTCCATCTGTAGAGATACCATCAGCTGTGCTGCAATGCTGTCATTTTGGGAAAGTAAACTGCCATTCCGTAAAATTAAAAAAGAAAATGAAAAAGTTCTTAGGTACAGGTATTTTGCATGTTAATGAAGTATAGTATTAAGGTCACTGTGATGGGGATGGGATGTCTACAGATTCAAAAGCAAGTTTAAAGTGCTATCACACTGAAATGTCAGCATTTTGAAACAGCATGACAGCCCATCTATTCACATTATTCTGACAGGGGTTTATATATGCAGACACCATAAAAATTAAAAATAACATTCATGAAAGACAAAAAATAATAACACAGAAAGCAGCGATGTTCAAATGTATTGTTACATTGACTTAATGTCCCAAAGAAAAGGGCACCGATGAGACTACAAATTCTACAGGAGGACCAACATTTAAGTCACCTCATGTGATCACACAGTGGTTTGTAGCAGGCCCATTCTTTTTTTCTGATCTGGAGGAGATGTATCTTAAAGACCAATTGAAAAGATGTAAAATGGATCTTTTGAAAATTCTTTGCTTGACACTGACATGTATTTATTTATTGTAAAGAAAAATAATTTATTAAAGAACACTCTTAACTGAAAGTGGAACTGGACAGGGTCATTCGCACCAGGGGACCAGGTAGTTCAATCAGTTAAAGTGTCTATCTAGAATTTTGAGGTCCTAGGTTCTTATCTCGATCTGACTGTTGCAATTTTCCTTTCGTATTAAATTTGGTGCCGAACTAAACATACTCACGTTAGGTGGTAAAGGGTTTTGCCTGTCTTAGGGGTCAATTTAGACTTAATTGAAAGAGGGAGGAATATAGCAGGACTGGACTGGGGGGGTCAGTCATTGGCGACAGGATTAATAATGCTCAATTGGTTAGAGCAACCGTCAAGAGTTTTGAGGTCCCAGGTTCAAATCTTGATCTGGCTGCTACATTGTTCCTTTCCTGTTACGAAAAGATGCTTTCAGAGGCGGTTTTTGCATGTCTGAGACAACGGACATCTTGATTGGAGTTTTATCCAAGGATCTTCTGATAAGTAGGAAATAACCACACTCTTACCTTGTTTTGAACCCCAGCCGTCTAGTTTAGATGGCCAGTGCATGGCTATATATATACAATTGGAAACTCGTCGGAAAATGTCATAGTTGTATTAATGAGGAGACACCACAATTAAATTTAGGAGAAGACTGGTCTATATTTAACTACATCGCTACGTAAGATTTCATGGAATGCAATTATTCAATTCAATTACACAGATGTCATAATGTTATTTCGAATCGCGATATTAGGTAGCGCCTAACTCGGTTAATGTATACTAGCCAGTTTTATTGTGAATTGTACTCAAATGTCGTTTCAATTGAGCAGCGGAAATCGACCCGTGCCAACATAATGCTTCTGTGCAAACAATGGGCATGCATATTGAAGTATGGTCTTTTAAAAGAATTGCGTTTTCACTTGTATTATAAATCACTTTAATGTCACAACATGTTTTAATAATGTAAAGCTAGTTGATGCTGCTGAGTTCTTGCCCTGGTTTTTTTGTGCAATATTATACTCCATCTACAGCCAACAGAGAGTTCTAAAAGACTTGTTAGCTTAACACTATGAATTCTTAAAAAAATTATTGACCCTAGTTTTAAACCGAAAATAACTTTTTGAACTGAGTCTTGTAGGATTTTAAAATAATAATCATTTGAAGACAGTTAACACAACAAATCTTTGAATATTTTAAAGTGTAAAGAAAGATTAATTCTAAAAAAAATGGTTAAAAAAAATCAAGCTAACAGGGCATGGACTAATAAGCTGCCATATTTTCATCAATACTAAAAATTATTTCCAAAAGTCCATCCCTTAGGTATGTTTTAAGCGTTTTAATTTCATCGAAAAATCGTTTGGTCATTAACCTACATTTATGTGTATTAAATCTTTTGTATATTGGCGATGTACTTAAGTAAAGTGAACATTTTCCCCGAGGTTTTCTATAAGGTCAATTCTGTGGTTGTAATATAAATGTGTTTTATCAAAAGATAATTGATTTCATGGTCTGTATGTCTATCGATCATTCAACATAAAGTGCCCTCATCCTCGCCGTGATTAATAAAAGTCACCCAGAATTTTATCCTATACCTGTCCTAATTGGATATATATTTTCACCTGTCTGTTGAGTGGTTTTATTGACTAAGTTTCAAGTTTTCAAGTTTTATTTTTACACTCACGCCACACGTATACGTGCGTAACAAGAGGTCACATAATACATAGTATACATTGATGGACATAGTACTCACATAATATAATATGACACATGATACAATTCATACAATAACAACCCATTTCAATAATTCTTTTAGCTAAATTATTTTAGATATTAAGTAGCTTCATTACTCTTTGTATAAATTTACTTACTTTTGTTAAGAGTACCGTGTTACAAATTGAGAACATTCCTTTCATTTTGATATAAGTTGGGTTGACATAATAATAATTTGGTATATAAAGTTGTCTAAGAGCTACAACAGATACATTAGTACATTGGTATAAGTAGTGGTATTCGTCCCCAACACAGTTATTACATAGGGGACATAACCTTTCCTCGCGTGGGACTCGATTCCATCTTCCTGTTTCTATAGGAAATTTTATATTTGATGTTCTAAATTTACATATTACTTTTCGTTCATTACGATTTAGCTTTAAAAGATATGGTTCAATATTAAACTGAAATTTGAATAAGGAGTAAACTTGCCCTCGCGAGGAGGTTTCAACATCATGAAACCAACTTTGAATGAATTGATCGCATAATCTCTGCTTAATGATATTTTTCAAGCATTGTCTATTAATTGTACATGATATTTGGAAAGTCCATAAATTATTAAATCCAGTATTGTTTAAGATATCTCGTATATACGTTAACCATTTAAAACTTAATAAAGAATTCTGGTGCAAATTGTACATTAACTTATACATTACACTAGATAATTTCGATCCACCCGTTATAAGCTTATGCCAGAACATAACCATTCTAACACTGATTTCAATTTCTAGGGGATACCTTCCTAACTCACCATATACCATATAATTTGGGGTGCTCTTCCGAATGTTAAGAATTTCCTTACAAAACTGTAAGTGTATTTTTTCGATACTTTTTGTATTTTCATAGCCCCAGATTTCACATCCATATAATAAAATTGGTGACACAAGTGCATCAAATAATTTCAGTTGAAGATCTACAGGAATGGAAATATTTTTAATCTTAATATACAATGCATATAAAGCTTTTTTTGCTTGCTTGCTCTGTTAGTATATTGGCGATGTACTTAAGTAAAGTGAACATTTTCCCCGAGGTTTTCTATAAGGTCAATTCTGTGGTTGTAATATAAATGTGTTTTATCAAAAGATAATTGATTTCATGGTCTGTATGTCTATCGATCATTCACATAAAGTGCCCTCATCCTCGCCGTGATTAATAAAAGTCACCCAGAATTTTATCCTATACCTGTCCTAATTGGATATATATTTTCACCTGTCTGTTGAGTGGTTTTATTGACCAGTAGTGGGGTACACCTGTCTTGCTGACACAGGTATGATATACCCACAGGTAAGACTTTGGAGGACAATAAGTCAGAACAGGTCAAACACCTGTCACTTTCAGGTAAAAAAATATAGCGTCTGTTTGGACATATGTCGTCTGTACAGGTAATTATATCCATAATTGGTCATAATTACCTGACAGTGTCTGTACTTTGTGTCAAAATGATCTTGTGAAAGTTTTCGGTGAGCACCGCTCAACTCTAATCCAGATATATATATATATAGAGAGAGAGAACCAAGTGATCATATCTGTGTCCTGTAACCGCTAAAAAGAAATCAGGATCTGTATTTACTTATGTGTGTACACACAATACGAGATATATGTACTTATGGCTTTTGTGCCGGCCCAGTGCTACCTGTTAATATCAGAAGCTTTATACAGGTAAAAGGAATCAAGGTGTGTACTCTATGTATATATACCTATACAAGAACTGATCACTTACCTTTTCCTGTATGGAGTCTAATACATATATTTCTACCTGAGCGGGCATTACTGGTGTAGACTAGCGACATGTGAGGGGAAGACGATTTTCGTTTGACTCAGGGGATCTTTTTGAAAGTGTTTACCGGATCACCAATACACAATCATGGAATTCTACGTCGGATTGAATTTTTTACCTGCCATGTTTGTTTCAAAGATTGATTGCACGGAGAATCTTGACTCATTTTACACGTAACAGATCTGTTTTATTCATTATTGCCGAATGTTTATTTGGTTTTTTTGGCCTCCCACATGTGTGTGTATATATATATATATAAATATATATGAATATAAACAGGCAATACAAACACACGGATTGATGTGTAAGTCACTGGGGAATATTTTTGCGAGTCGGATATGTCATCGATATATCATCATGTGATCGGCAATGGTACAGTTGTCTATTATAAATGACATTTACCTGTTCAAAAGAAGTCACATTCCTGGCCTCCGAACATGATATACGACTACAGCTTTACCTGACGAGGCAGGAATTGTATAATGACTTCTAAACAAATGTGGAATTTTTTCGGATTTTGACATATCCGACATGGAGTTTGGAACATATATCCAATGACAGATCAAAAATATTTGTAAAAAACAATGAAAGAAGTATATTCTGAATAGTCTGTTTCTCTCGCCAGAGGAATAAACGTGTGCTAGCTGGGCTCTTGGATTTTTAACATCATGCATCATTGATGTCAATGTTAAAATATTTAGATTGGAAAAAAGTTCAAATTCAAATGAAAATAATGAATTGTTTTTGAAGATGAATAGAGTGTGTTTGTCAGAATATTGAGATACTGAGGGGAGTTTTGGAATTACGGAAACTCATCCACTATGATAATGGAAATTCATAAATTCGCGAAAAGTGTCCTGGGACAGAGGAAAACGAAAATGCAAGATTTGCAGCGAGCTGGATCGTGGAAGGCGAAGAAGGACGGCGAACATCTGATGCTGGCACGCTGTCGTAGCCAGGGATTTAATGGATTATCTACAGAAAATGAGGAGAATGATAAAGAATATCAACCCACACCCTCATTCCAAATTCTACCCAACCTCCCACCAATGAGACCACGTAAGTCTGTATGTTAAGTTCTATGGAAGGGTTTTGGTACCAGCAGATTGAGAAAGAGGATAGGGTTAATATAAAAGTGAAGGATGTATAGGCCTCCTAAAGTCGGCAGTTATGAAAAATGATTTTTTCCAACAATTCAAGGTGGAATTTTAGAGATATTCGTATGTATGGGGGTTTAAGGGGAAGATCGAAGCACACATTTGCAGCAAATAAAAAAATCTATCTTTTTTTCTAAAACCGATATATCCTTGGACACCAACGTCCCGATTTTCCTCAAGGGTTGGATGAGAAAGGACTCCATGGTGTAAATTTGCTTTATTATAATAATAGTCACAACTTTCTAAATATTAAAGCAGGATTTCCTTAGCCTTAATTTTTGTGTAAATTCAATTAATTAACTCCATAGAACAGTGTTAGCTATCCGGTTGATATTTTACACTGTTATTTTGTGAAATGAAGATTATTGTACATACTTTTAGACATTTTTGTATTTTTTCCCAAAGTCCCTACTCTTTGCAATGAAATTTTAGCACTGACATGTACTTTTGCTGGATGAAGACAGTAAAAAAAGGCGGTCCTGTGTTCAGATAGAATAGTATTATAACTCCAGGCATGCTCCTAAACCCATCATTTAATCTATAGCTATAAGGCTATAGAGAGTCAATATATTGCATTCTGTAAGAATTTAAAGATCCATCGAAAAAGTCCAACATTAGCTGTAAAAATATCTTTATTAGCTGAATATTGGATTTTAATTGTAACGAGGGCATTTCACCTCTCCAGAAGAAGTTTAATTCGTCTTGACAAGTTTCTACGAACTTTATATTAAACTCAGGCGACAAATTTATGCTGTAAACATGTTGAGTTTCTTGCATTTTAAAATCAATTATTTTCAAAATACTTACCAAGTTAATTGGATTTCTAACAAACAAAAAAATATAACTAATTGATATTCGTTGGAAGGAAATTCTGTTTAAGAATTATCGGCCCAATAAAAGTGTTAATTTATTTTAGAAGATGGATTTGACTGTACAGTGGTGCTTCCTAGCCTGCATGACAAGCTTAATCAATATTTAACGTTCAAATTTTTCATCTGGAATACTAGTAGATAAAAAAAAATCTGTAAAATTAATGATTTCAAATACATTTGTATTAATCAATAAGGATTGTTCAATACAAGAAGCATTAAATGATGTTATGTTTCGAAGAAAATTAAAAAGATACATTTTTGAATATCAATATTTCTAACATGTGAAGCTGACAATGCTTAACACAATCGTTCCAAATTAAACCCACCAAGGTTGAGACCCAAGTTCTCTAGTGGGTTTGTATGTACGACAAGTTCTTACATGATACGTCATACGAAAAGATGAAAAAGTCGTAAGGCGGTTCATTTTAGTGTAGAGCTTCGGGATGTACACGCGAGTGAGAAATTTGTGAGGCTTGACAATATGTTTTCCACTGCAGATGTTCATTGCTTTTTAAAGAGGCATTGGAATTTGTAGGATCGAACAGACATCTGAAGGTTGTACAATATGTCTCCCGCAGTAAAAAAAAATGTTCAAATGGTATACACAAATTATTTTTTATTGTGACGTTGTAGTCGATTTATCATACTGTCGTTATAATGCTGATATCATGCAGACTGAGCTTTTGAACTTCCTCCGCAAGCAAGAAAGGAGGTGAGGTGTACAAATATCAATTAGATTTGAAGAATGATCTTTTCATTCACATATCTGCAAAAGGTCGTAAATTAAAAAAAAAAAAATGTATTTCTACTGAAATGATATTGCTTACTTAGGGTCAAAGGTCAAGGTCACCATTGTTATTATTAAATGAGTCTCTTCCATTTTATGTGAGATATGTGAAACAGGTTTTGAAGTGTTAGTTTTAGTAAGGCTGCATGTGCTTAGCTTAAAATACTTCTCATATTTCAGAACGAGTTTTATAAATCGAGGATCTTGTATAATAAAATGAAAATATACAGATTTAATTATTTTTATTTAATACAGTCTTCATGTCGTTATAATCATGTCATGTTGATTGTCTTCATTCTGACGTTATAACGACATGACACATCAAGTCTGTTGGTTTTATCATGACGTCACTATGAAGTAACTTGAGGAAATAAACAAAAATATAACATAGAAGTTCTTAGATTCATAGAATAAGTTCTTTAAACAACAATTAAATATATGGGAAATAAGGAATACACAAAGTGATAACATTAATAGGGACCAATAGAATTCAAAGTTCTTTAACTCATTCACCCCTGAAATTTCATAATGAACTATTCCAACCTTTGAATTGGAAGAGTTCAAATGTGTCTTCAGGGGTGAAAGAGTTAAACAATATTACTTAATTATCATATTGGGCTTTCTTTCAGACACACACCATTATAAATTAAGTATAGCGTGGTTGCACTATCTGTAGATCTGTGCAAATCTTGATCCACACTAAGTGTTCACGCAGTATATTAAAAAATTATCATGTATATGTTTATCAGATCTGATAACTTTGTATGGCAAAGTTTTGAAATAAAGTGTACCACAACACACCATAACATATATATTCGTGTTTAAATAACCATGTTTATCAGTTTTGAAAACTTAGTATAACTTTGTATAACTTCTAAAATTTCGGAATTCTTTGTATATATTCTTGTTTGAATAACGGGACAGGTTGTTTTCAAATAGTATCAAGATTGTAATTAATATCTGTAAGTGGAGTTAATAAAAGTTTTTACGACTTTTCAAAGCTGTCCAAAGAAATCGTACAGGTGTAACAAAAGTCGGTAGGAAACAGTATACATTAGATTTTACGACCTCGATAACAACACTCATATCTGTAAAGTCAACTTACTTAAACCTATTAACGGTTTAGGCAAGTATGCCACTTCAAGTTACGATTTTGTGTCGAGCCCCGCGTGTTGTTCAACTGTTTCTGCGTAAGTGTGTTTGTACCTAAGAACCGTGTGTACCTCTCAAAAATAGAAGTGTTATCATTTCTTTATTGACGGCAATAAAAATCTTAGTAAGTTCGTTTGAAAGTAAAGGTATATGCTTTAATCCTCCATAAGTATATATTATCAGGGGTAAAATCAACTTCAAGTGTATGTCATTTAATTCTTCATTTCACAGAAATTTTAAAGCTAATGTAGCATTTATGTTTATTACACGTTTTTTTGTTTAAAAGATGTTAAAAAATATTCAAATTTTTAAGTATAAGATAGGCATCAGAAAGAATTACTTGAGTATTGTGCAATTTTTCATGTCATGTGTGGCGTATCTATAAGAAATATATACCCCACTTAAGTGCTTCAGTGGGCCCTTACTGATAATTACTTTTCAGTTTCAGGAGAAATATTTGCCTGGAATATGGTGTGTGATAATGAAATATATTTCCTTACTGTGATATACTCTGCTTCGCAGGGAATAGAGTTGTAAAAAATACATGACTTATATATGCGAGGATTTCTTGAGATCAGAGTTGTGTTTTGAAGAAAGAATGTGGGTTTGAAGTAGCGAGACCAGGTGTTTTATTTTTCGAAAATTTATATAATCACTTGCGCTCACACAATTTGGAAACATTTATAACATAAGCAAATATAAGGAAGAATTTTCAAAAATACAACCTGATCAATATAACACATATCTCTAGAGAGAATCAGTATACTATATAGTGAAGTATCATATACAACCTGATGAATATAACACATATCTCTAGAGAGAATCAGTATACTATATAGTGAAGTAGCATATACAACCTGATCAATATAACACATATCACTAGCGGGAATCAGTATACTATATTTAGTGAAGTATCATATACAACATGATCAATATAACACATATCACTAGAGGGAATCAGTATACTATATTTAGTGAAGTATCATATACAACATGATCAATATAACACATATCTTTAGAGGGAATCAGTATACTATAAAGTGAAGTATCATATACAACCCGATCAATATAACACATATCTTTAGAGGGAATCAGTATACTAGATATAGTGAAGTATCATATACAACATGATCAATATAACACATATCACTAGCGGGAATCAGTATACTATATATAGGGAAGTATCATATACAACCAACATTTTCAAAATATGAAAAAATGATGGAGGGGGGCCCGTGGTCAAGCCTTGTAGCATGACGACAAATTGTGTATATTGCAAAGAAAGAGCTTTACTATCCCCCTTATCTTTATTTGGTATACTTCAAGGAGAAGCACTGTCTCCGGTGGCTTCTCTTTATTTTGTATACTTCAGGGAGTGGCACTATCTCCCTTCTCTTTATTTTATATACTTCAAGGAGAAGCACTGTCTCCGGTGCCTTCTCTTTATTTTGTATACTTCAATATAACACATATCTCTAGAGCGAATCAGTATACTATATATAGTAAAGTATCATATACAACCTGATGAATATAACACATATCTCTAGAGCGAATCAGTATACTATATATAGGGAAGTATCATATACAACCAACATTTTCAAAATATGAAAAAATGATGGAGGGGGGCCCGGGGTCAAGCCTTGTAGCATGACGACAAATTGTGTATATTGCAAAGAAAGAGCTTTACTATCCCCCTTATCTTTATTTCATATACTTCAAGGAGAAGCACTGTCTCCGGTGCGTGCTCTTTATTTTGTATACTTCAGGGAGTAGCACTATAGTGAAGTATCATATACAGCCTGATCAATATAACACATATCTCTAGAGTGAATCAGTATACTATATAGTGAAGTATCAAATACAACCTGATCAATATAACACATATCTTTAGAGGGAATCAGTATACTATATATAGGGAAGTATCATATACAACCAACATTTTCAAAATATGAAAAAATGATAGAGGGGGGCCCGTGGTCAAGCCTTGTAGCATGACAACAAATTGTGTATATTGCAAAGAAAGAGCTATACTATCCCCCTTATCTTTATTTTATATACTTCAAGGAGAAGCACTGTCTCCGGTGCCTTCTC